TTCTCTCCACAGCTTCAAATAGCGGATGGGAAAATACCTAATTTTTTAAGCAAGTAAAAAACGTATGCTGCCATCAATGAACTCAGGAATTGGAACACAACAATAGGACTGCTACAACCTCAGACCTGTGCTGAGCCACAAAATAAAAACCCCAACAGAGTTCAACTATTGTTACCAGTGAGTGGTGAATCAGTGCACTGTAGGTCAAAATAAACCCAAGGGATCATTATCTTTTGTTTAGCATGTGAAAAACGGCTTTACATTCAAAACAGTCATCTCTATAAATAGTTTTCAAGACTCTGCAATATTGTAGACAACATTTAAAATTAACTACATTTTTTTAAAATAACGATACATGTTGCTTGTTTTAAAAAGTTCTTCCTCCCTTACTTACCAAAATGAATTTTTAGAGTGAGCTAAGAGGTGGTGAGTCAAATTTTCTATTATACTGATGTATGTACATGTGTATGAATAAATTTCTTAAATATAAATAGATATTTTTTAAACTTATGTGCTTCTTCTCTCCAAACCTGGTTACAAAGTTGGGGGAAAATGTAAAATGAAAGCCTCTGTCAGGAAAAAAACAAGAGTGGGGGAGGATGAATACATTGTAAAATAAGCTGAAATTAAGTTTTAGAAGCAACTTGGAAATAATTTCAGGCCAATTATTTAATAAGAAAGTACTTCCTCAGCTTAAATTGAAGCATATTATATGAGTGTCTTTGGAATCTAACCCGTGGGCCCAGATGAAAGCCAATGAAACAGCACAGGAAGGTTTGTCAAGTGACAAGTTTCAGCATCCAGTTTCACTGCAAAAGTTGAAGAGGGGACGGATGCAGAAGAGATTCTGGGGGGTGGGAAGGCAAAAGGATGTGTCTGAAGGAGGAACAGGTGTTCTGCTGAAAGAAGAGCTAGCCAAGCAAAAAAATTGGAGCACCAAATACACTTTTTTGATACTCTTTCAAATAGGACCTATTGAAAAATAAACTTGTTCTGGACAATGGTGACAGCAGACTTGTCTGAAGGGAGACACAGTTCACACTTGTCATGAGAGGAAAGCACTGAAGAGCCAGTTCTGCTGAGGAACCTGTGGGAGCCTCCACACTGCCCACTCCCTGTGCTGGGACTGCCCTTCTGGGGGCCTGGCAGTCAGACAGACCCACATCCATCCCACCTCCTGCCCAAAATGCTCACTCCAAGCAGGAGGATTCCCTCTGCAGCAGCCCACAGCCAACAAGGCTGAGCTTTGTGACTAAGTGGGAATACATGCTGAAAAGCAATGGATAAAACACAAAAGCAACAGAAACGTTTTTACATGACCAGTATGCATTTCTTATGATTGTAAAACTCTAATTTATAACTGGATGTTACATAACATGAAAAAATACCTCCAACAGTCTCTGAACAATTGCTGTACATCACCACCTGTTCAAGATGCCCAACACAACTAAAGCTGCTGTACCAGAGGTTAAGAACTTTTTCTTCACTGTAGTTGACCAGCCTTGATCAAGTTGTTCCATGGAACTCAAATATTTGGCTTCCAAAAAGACAGATGTCCCAAAGATCCCCACTATTTTGTTGGTTTATTCTAAGGAAGGGCTGAGGCTGTGAAGCTTAAAATGTAACTTTGTATATAGGTGTTAGTCTGAAGTAGCAGAGTTTACATAATTCAAGAGACCCAGACTCTACACTTAGCCAAGCACTCCCAGTGAATGGGACTCAACCACTTCCAGCAATCTGAAATCTTCTGAAGTTAAATACACAAATAATTTTGGATTACAATAGCAGCAGTTGCCGGAGGAGAGGTTTCCATGCCATTATCCCCAGGGAATTACATTTTTAAGTTGCCGTCAGAATCTGCTTTATCTTGTCATTGTTAATACACAACGAACTTCAATGTTGTGTTTAACAACTGGAACGGTCTCAGAATATTAGGTTGGAACTGACAACAAACAAAGGCTTTTCTCACAGTTGTCCCACATTAATGGTCAGGATTTATCACCAAAATGAAAACAGAGGCATGTAAGCATATTATAGTAAGAAGCCCATACATAGACAGGCTAACAAATCTAGGTATTGCCTAGTTATGGAGGAGACACATATTGCTCAGATGCACTGTTTGATATTGCATTTGCATTTATATGAACCCCTCACAAATGGATCTAACCCAATAATCTTCACACACCCTGCGAAAAAGAAGGAGGTACCACCAACCCTACTTTACAGAAACGTTTAATGACTTGCCCCAGGTCACACGGGAAATCTGCCGTGGCAAAGCAGAGAATGGCTCTCCTGGGATCTCTGAAATCCCATCTCAATATTCTGGCCGCACTGCCACCCGTCCTCAGCCATACTTAATACGACTAAATTACTGATGGCAACAAATAGCAGAATCTGACTTTCAGATGAGCTGATTTGTACAATGAGTCAATCCATAACTTTTGTCTCCTCCAGACACTTAGATCGATGGGCTGTATGCCCAGCACGTTATAATAACCCTGAAAAGCTTTTGGCTCAGCCTGCAAACACATTAGCATTAACTTAAATCTGCTGCTTTGTTTACTATACGAGATATCTGCTTGTGCTCTATGCCCAAGCGAAACCAATTAAAGAGATCCAAATACCAAAAAGCCCACAGAGCAGTACAAGACTAAAGCTACCCATGGACATAAAATTTACCCAGCTTTAGATGGTATTTATTCCTCCAAAGCATTATGGCCTGACAGTCACGTTTTTCTTTTCCAGTCATGGACTTGTCATGATTTACATTCGGAACCTTCCCCAAAAAGCGATTCAGAAAGCGTTGGAAACTGGCTCCCCTCCCACTGCTTCCGAAATGGATTAACGCGACTCCGGCCTTGGATCCAAAAGACTACAAATTACAGCGAAGCCACCCCCGATTTAAGCTGTTGGAGAACACGACAGGAAAATCACCAAAAATTCTGCTCTTTCAGCTCTTTAAACCCATTCATTACAGAGTCCACAGGGCCACATAGGTACCAGAGTAAATCACTCGGTGGGAGAGGACATCAGCCAGTAACAAGAGGCTTTTCTTATTTCCTCAGATGTACAAATGTAGCAGCGCCAGGAAGGGTCTAATTGCTCTCAGAACACCCAAGCAGCATTTGAAGTGATAATTTATTGACCATATCAGTGTAGCTTAGTGCACAGAATGAAAAGACAAGTTGAGGATTGTATCCGGACCACTGAAATGCCCACAGCTTGCCAGGGTAGGCAGACTGATGCAAGCCAACAAAATAATCTGGCAAAACCCTAAAGCAGACTTAGAATAAAACCATACTTAGCTTTTTACTGGGTTTTAGCAAAATAAGAGAAAGGTAAGACTTGAATTTCATTTATAAATATTTAGAAACAAGTTTGGGAAAGGTTGAATCCGAGTCCCTAATTATCCAAATGGGCAGCAAGGGAGCTGATCCAAAAATCTATTCGGGTTGGCAGGGTGCTTTTTATCAATCACAGTGGTCACTAGATGAAGCCCTGGAATACCAGTGCTAACCTCACTAGCACTGGCTTAGCCTTTAACTCAAGCAATAATCACCATCCAGTGCCAACCTCTGCGTGGCTCTGCCCTTCTGTAAGCACAGACGCTGGAATTCACATTGATACACAAGGCACCAAAGTCAAACAAGAACGGGCAAAAAAACTTGTTAAAAGCGTTTCCTTGCCCTTCCGTACCAGCCCACTCTTCCATCTTGCGTTACCAAAAAAAAAAAAAGTCAAGGTTTCTGAGTGAAAAGTGCAACAGATTCACAAACACTCTGCAGCAGCTACAACATCCTACTCTCCAGTAACACCTCCACAAACCTCAAGCCCATTTTGCAGAAAACATGAGGAAAGCAAACAGCAACAGGGGAATTTCACAGACACGACCCCATCCACATACAGTGACTCATGGATGCTTAAGCATGTCCCTGGAATGGATTTTCCCTCTTAAACACCCTAACAAAAACAAAAATAGAGTAAAATAACTAAGACTTAAATGGGAAAGATGAATTAACATCTCTGGGATCTCCTTTTTCTCCTCACCTGTGTGAAAAGATAGGAAGCTGAAAGCAAAAGCAAAGGTTAAATCAATCTGTCTTTTGAAGAGGTGACACACCCAAGTGCCTTAGTCAAGGCTCCATCCTTGGCTCCTGCACAGTCAGAATCTGTTCACTGCTGCCAATGGAGCCTGGAAATCGTTTGGTGGAGCTGCAGACAGGAGCAGCCTCTACATTCAGCTGTTCAGTATCAGAAACGCTAACTAGTGTTGCTTTATTCTATCATGAGGGAAAATTAAATAGGAAACGAGGATTTAATGTGCACGTCTGACAGTCGGGCTTCTCGACGAGAAAGAGAGAAGGGAGAAAAGCTCAGGAACTGAGAACATTTTGCTTCCCCTGAGCCCTCATTCATTCAAAGAGAAGAATCAGAAACCCTGACAATCTCCTCTAGCAGCCCCCTCCCATCACATCGAAGGGAAAATTTTTCAAGACAGCTCTTTACAGAGAATACAGACAAAATTGACAAATCTCCCTCTGCCTCTTCCCTTTCGGAATGATGATCTTTCTCAGCCGAGGACTGCAGAAAGGCAGAGTTTGCACGGCTGAGGCAAGCCCCACTTCCATGCAGCTCTTCCACAAATGCAGCAAGAGCACCTGTGACTACCAGCGTTACACGGCTGAGAGACGGCACCCAAAATCCTCTCTGCACCTAGCGATACAAACGGGGGCTTCCTACCCCATCCCCTCATCTGCCTGACGTGTTGCTTTGGCAGAAGGCAGACTTCCTGCCTCTGCTGGAAAAAAATAAATTTCGACTATCCCTGTCTGATATTTACATTTTAATAGTTCCATACACAGGACAAGCTCTGCGGCTGCCATCGACAAATACCGATGGGAAACAGGAAAACCGCAAAACCCCACCACCCAAGCCACAGCCACGAAACACGACAACCCTTGCACGGGCTCTTGGATGGACAGCGACCCCGGGTAACTCACTGACGGGTGTATTCCCTCCTCAGCGCCGGGTTCCTGCGAGCCGCCCGTCACAGCG